CCCCAACATAGGTTGGATCTCCATCTGTCAGGAAAGGTTTAGCTGAAGATTTCTTGCACTGTCAAGAGTCTGGATTCAGTGACCCTTGTGGTCTCTTTCAGCTGTACAGTTTTCTGATTTTAAGATTTGTATCTCCTTTCACATACTTAAACATCACTCTTCATTTGTTTTCTATTATGCTCTTTTGATATCAGGCAGAAGTTAAGTTCTTTGGATAGTAGCTTAAGTTCACTTTACGGCATTTTGTCCTCAGGACATTTGTTACCATTTCAGAGTCATTCTTGTAACTCTGTTGGCTGATGTTGTTTCCGATGCAGGAGATTTGAGGGTATAGCTTTTCAGTCTCTGGCTCCTCTTATGCTATTGCTGCCTTCTTCATATAGAGTAGAAAACACTTGCAAATCCATCACTGTAACACAGAATTTCTTCTCTTTCATTTGGTATCATACCCATTTCAAAATTACAGTGGTGCCCCGCTAGACGCTTACCCCAGTAAACGATGAAATCACTTGACGATGACTTTTTTGCGATCGCTATTGCAGTCGCAAAATGATGGTTCCTATGGGGGAAATCAGCTTTACGTTGATTAGGTCCTTGCTTCGCGAACCGTTTGTTCGCAAAACAATGGTTTTTCCGGCTCCGCAAAATGGCTTCACTTCGCAAAATGGCTGTTTTCCAGACAGAAGCTTCGGAAGACAGCAATTTTAAACAGCTGATCAGGGGTTCTCTATGGGTGATCTTCACTGGACTATGAGGTATTTCCCCAATGGAATGCATTAACTGGTTTTCAATGCATTCCAATGTTTTTTTTTCTGCATGACGATGATTTAGCTGTACAGCAATTTTCCTGGAACGGATTATCATCGTCATGCGGGGCATGTAATACAAATGTGTCCTATATATGGTGTAAATAAGGAGATAAAATAATTTAAGTACGAACAATGGCTTGCTGGAGTTGTGTATCAAGGCTCACAGTTGCACACAGTATCCTAGATAGAGATAGGCACGAACCTCGGTTCAGAGGTCTGATCAATTCATTTCTGTGCTCACAGCACTCTCCTCCCTCCTCCCTTCCTCTGCATGTTCGCCCTTTCCTCGGGCAACACACAATTTATTTATTTATTTATTCATTCATTCTATTTATACCCCGCCTATCTGGTCATTTCGACCACTCTAGGCGGCTATGTACTTCTGCCTCAGCTGCCATAGCTATCATGTTTCAATCCCAGCCTCTTTCACTGCAAATGAAAGACACACTGATTTTGCCATCATCATTTCCCCCCAGGAGGTGTTGTCACGCTGTATTAGAACTCTAGACTGAGAGCCAGCATCCCTCACCCCTCCAACATGGTAGGAACTGAGAGGTTTGAGAAAATATTTACAAAGCCAACAAATACGATGAGACAAGATTAAATAATGACAAAGTTGAAATATTCTTCAATGTGAGGTATGCTTGAAAGGACTGGTTCCCCAGTGTGAATTATTAAATCTTCTGCATTTATACAGTAATGATATTTTAGTAAAAATGCTTATCCATATTTATCAGGAAGGGTATACAACATTCTATTCAGAAAGTTAAAATTACAAATATCCATCAGGTGGGAAATGTTGCGACTGTTATCAGACTAAATATTTTAAATACCTACTTACAAGAGACTGAAGTAGTAGGAAAATTACTGTAAGTCATAAGCTTTATTAAGCAAATAGATTTACGAGAAGCTGCTCAATAAAGATATAGAATCACAAAAAGGTAATTTGGAAGTAACAGCAAAATAGCTCTCCACAGAGACTAAAGATTACTGTTGCTTTCTGTAAGGATAATATTTCCTCATATTACACTATGAGTGTTGCATGTGTTCCATTTCTTCCTTAAGATTTTCAACAGCTGTCAAATGTCTTTTGGATAGAGTTTAAAATTCTAAGCAAAGGTGAATGGGATTTACTTTTTAACTCCCCCCTCCCCCCATTTCTTTAGCAGTTGGAATCAGGTAGAAATATTATTATTCAAATAATTTGAAGATGTCTACTTGCTGTTTCTTCCTGGTCAGCAGGCTTCTGTCTTTTTTTGCTTTAGCCTCTTCCCATTGCTCCAACTCCTTCTGGTAAATATCAAAGATGCAGGGTTTGCATCCACTGCCACAGCACTGAGATGGCAATGGTTCACTGGGCTTGAGATACAACCAGAAATCTTCGCTATCATCCATTATCTACAAAACACAAACCAACATCACAGAATTTCAATTAGGTGGAGACCGCTGATGACAGTTGCAATCCTTGCTCAGGAATGAACTCCTCTGAAATCAGTTGGACTTATTTCTGGGTAAACATAGCCAGGATTCAGCTGCAAGAACTCATAAACCTCAGATATTTCCATTGTCATCCACATCTGCTTCGGGTTTCAGAGTAGTATGGCTTCTGCTCTATCCCAACTTGGATATGTGTATTTTGCCCAATATGTGATGGATCAGGGTTTTTGAATTTGGTTTAAAGTCATGTGGTTTTGGGGTTCAATGTGTGCATCCCCTTGGGAAAACTTTTGATCCATTTTCAAACGATGTTGTATATTGGTCAAGCAGGCTACATGAGCTTTTAGAATTGTTGCATTTGAGGCTTTGTCCTGTGCCCTGTCCTCCCTTGTGCTGGCTGCCTCTCACAGCCACTGGCCACTGCTGCTGTGGTATTTTATATATATAATCAATATATAATAATAAATTATATATAAATTTCCTGCAATCTGACATAGTATTAGTACAGAATGATTAAAAAAAATAAAACAGAGGTTTCTCTGCAGCCTGATACACAAGCACTGAGACAGACAGAAAGACACACACACACACACACACACACACACACAAAGGGGGTGGAGAAGAATAGGGAGCAAGGGAGCTTGGTGTCTGAAACTGACCAGAGACATTCAATAGGCTTGTGAAGGAGGGAGACACACAAGCAAACACACACACACACACACACACAGAGGGAGTGGAGAAAGAGAGGGAGCACAGACCAACCAGCTGGGGCTGAAATTTACCAGAGACATTTTGAGAAGATTGGCACTTCTAGGGTTGCGAAGGAGTGAGAGAAGGAGAAAGAAAAAGCACAGAAGGCACATCAGTGAGTTGCAAAGCCATAGACACAATTTACACTGACAGAGGCCAAAACAATTGAAAATAAATTGATTTCACAAGCAATTTAAAATAAACGACCCTCTTGCAGCTCAGCAAAATGCCTCACTTTCCAACAAAAAATGACATTTCTCAAGCAAAAAAGCTCCATACATCCATGTACACCATGTAGTCACCTTAAATTTTTTTTTCAAACATGGCAAACCTGATTCAAATAGTTTTTTCCACATGTAACCATGCTCTAAGAGACAAATGTTTGAGCTGCAGTCAAACATCATGTTTCCAGAAATGGGCAGTCGCTGATTGCTTCTTTGTCCCAGCATGTATTGCTGGTTATAATCTGATACCTGCACACCTACCATTCTTCATTCAGTTTCAAATTTACATCCTTGGATTTAATCAAATGGCAGAGCTCAAGGCCACAACATCTGGCCTAATGTTTGGACTCTTCTTGTTTCTTCCGTCACCTGGTACTTTTTTTGTAGCCTCATGAATGGGTCTTGAGAATGCAAAAGTTTGTACATTTTTATGGCCTTCTGGATGCTCCTTAAAAAGTAATTGTCAAATTCTGGGTTATTGTTTGTTCTACAAATGAAGATGAATTCGTCTCCACAATTCTTGGATCTTTTTCTCTCCTTGTGCAATGGTGAAATAAAGAAAGTGTAATTCTTACATATACATATATCTATATCTATAAATGTTAGCTGAATGAATGTCTAGCTCTTTCCTACCATATGGCAGTGAAATCCCAAATGAAATATGTTAGCTGTAGTCTGTTGAAAATGGCCAGAATCCTTTGGGGTGGCACAAGTATCCTCATGCTGGCTGATTGGAGATCTGTCAGCACAAATGAGCCTGCCAGAAGAACTGCTAGGCTGACTTAGATCAACTAGCAAAACAGCCAAAAGAGGGAGTGGAATGGGTGGGAAGCTGAGCTACATCAAACTCCTGTCACTCCAGACTCACAGCCACTATATTAGTACAAAATTAGGAAAGGATCAGAGTAATTGTAAGTAGTTTCCAACATCTCCAGACTGGGAGGAATTTGAAACCGGTGTAGCTTTGGCTAGCTTAGTGTCAGGCCTCAGCAATTCTGGCTGGTTAGTATTTTGCCCTAAATCTATTTGGGTTTATTCCTGATCCAAGATCGTCCTGATTAGACATTTTAATTCTATCATTGTGGAATGAAGGAAGACAACACTTCTTGCTTTTGTATATAGAATATTTCAGATAATTAGAAAGCATTCAGACAGAATCAATATCTTGTTGTTGCAAAAAAGACAATTTAGCACCTCTTAGCAGGAGGCTAAGGGAGCAACTGCATAATGAAGGAAATACGAATTCACTTGCTGTGAAGATGTACCAGGGATTTCAGATATGCTCAATTTAAGCAGCCACACAGGGAGAGAGGAGAAAAGTCTTACTTGCAGTTCTACCTATAGCCCTGTAGGTGGTGCTGTTACAAAGAACTGCCTTAACAAGCTATGACAAGGCTTTCTTTCCTCACTATTTTCATCTTGTTATCTTAAAAAAATTGTTAGCAGAGAAGGGCTCAATTCTTAAGCTATCCAAAACAAAAACAAAAACAAAACAACAACAGATGTGTTGCTTACAAAGAGAGGCTATGCTGAAGAGACTCTGTGTGTGTGTGTGTGTGTGTGTGTGTGTGTGTGTGTGTGTGTGTGTGTGTGTGCGCGCACGCGTGCGCGTGCGCGTGTGCATGGTTCATCTCCCCTCATGAGGCAAGAGGAGAGGTGAAAGGTGCTTTGGCAAAGCACTGCTTTGTGTTGCATACACACAGTTTGTCCTCCCTTTTCTGTATCGGTTCAAATGATCACACACCTGAACCAATGTGAATGGATCAATTTTTTTGAAAAAGTAGAAGCCTCAGCAGCACAGGGGGGGTGGATTATGGATTTTGGGTAGTGGAGACTACAGGCTGATTCACATTTCAATTTGCGCTGTGTATTCAACAGAACAATGTGAATCAGCCCAACCCAAATCTGTAGTATTACCCACATTTTTATCAATGTTATCCCCATATAGATTCATCAGTTGAGATGGATAGGAATCCATCCATGGAAGAATGATAAAAAAATCAGAAGTCTGAAACAAACAGTCAAATGCTTCTTATTCCTAGTGTGTACCTATGCTGTACCCTTGATCTCATTTAACAGTAATAATCTCTTCCCAAGAAATTTGGGAAGGGGAATCTCAGTTAAGTAGGCAAGCAGATTTTCTGATCACTAACAGAATATTCTCAGCACCTCATAAAGTTATAATTCCAGATTTGGGGATGGCTACAACATGTCACATAGAGACAAAGAGAACTACTAAAACAATCAGTGCAAAGAAAAAGAGAACAACAAAAGGGGAAAAACAATCTGTATGTGGGACATACCATACAAAAAGCCATACTAGATTCAGATGAAGGAAGTGTGAAAATTGGTGGAAGAAACATCAATAATTTAAGATATGCAGATGACAACATCTTATTGGCACAAAGCAGCAATGACATGAAACGACTTTTGATGAAAGTGAAAAAAAGTGCCAAAGCAGGACTGCAGTTGAACATTAAGATGACGAAAAACATAACTACAGAAGAACTATACAACCGTAATGTTGATGATAAAGAAACTGAAATAGTTAGAGATGTTGTATACCTTGGTTCAATCATCAAGCCAAATAGAGATTGCAGTCAAGAAATCAGAAGAAAACTGAGACTTGGAAAGGCAGCAGTGAAGGAACTAGAAAAGATCATCAAGTGTAAAGATGGGTCACTGGAAACCAGGACCAAGATCATCCCCACTCTTGTATTTTCAACTTCCATGCGCAGGTGTGAAAACTGGACAGGAAAGCTGACAGGGGAAAAAATGTTTCGTCTGAAATATGGCCTCGGAGGAGATCATTGTGGATACTTGGAATGCCTAAGGTCCTAGATCAAATCAATCCTTTTTTTAAAAAATTATTTTATTGTATTAAACAAACATCCAATCTACACAACCTAAAATACAATTACATATACATAAACACCAGTATGACCTTCCCCCTCAGTCTAGTATTAACAATATTTTTTAAAAAAATTCATGCAGTCCATTTTCTCTCCAAAAATGCATTGTTTCTTCCCTCAGCATATGCCCCTTCCCTCTCCGAAATACATATTCCAAGAATACACTCTATATTTTCTTAAAATCATTATTTTTGATAGGCCTCTTCTTATTTTTATATCACGTCAATTTATCATGAATTGTCATATCCCATAATTCTCTATACCATTCCTCTAAATTTAGTTGGTCATCATTCTTCTGGTTTCTTGCAAAGATTAACCTTGCTGCTGTTACCATTATTACAATTAAATCCTTATTTTCTTTCAACAATTGATCTTTCAATAAAGCCATTGATGGGGACATCTGAATATTTAATCCAGTTATTTCCCTTATTTCTTTAAAAATTTGCTTCCATTCTTTCTTCCTTACTTCACATAGCCACCACATATGTAAATACAGTGGTGCCTCGCATAGCGAGGTTAATCCGTTCTGGATTAACCTTCGCTATGCGAAAACATCGCTGTACGGATCAAAAAAGCCGTTCCAAATTGGCAGAAAACTCACCGTACAGCGATGTTTTCCTGGTCCGGCAGCCATTTTCACGCCCTCAGTAAGCGAGGGGAGGGCGCAAAAATGCTGCGCGCGGCCATTTTGGCCGCAGCGAGACCGCGGATCAGCTGTTTGGCGGGTCCAAAATGGCCGCCGGAACACCCGAAATGGCCGCGCACAGCGTTTTCGCACCCCGCTGAACAGCTGATCCGTGGGTCGCAAAGCGAAGGTCGGTAAGCGAAACGCTTACCGATCTTCGCTATGCGAATTTCGCCCATTGGGGCCGACGCGATGCCTTCGCATTAGCGATCCCGGAAAAGGGATCGCTATGCGAATTCATCGCTGTACGGGGCGCTCGTTAAGCGAGGCACCACTGTATGTCCCCTTCTCTTTTTTACACCTCCAACATAGTGATGATACATTTTTATTTATTATATTCAGTTTTACCAGCGTTAAATACCACCTCCATATTACCTTATAATAGTTTTCCTTTATCCTTACAGACATGTTCTTCATAATTCTTTGGTCCCACTTTTTATCCCATTGTTCTCCTAATGCTTCTTTATCCAAATCATGTTGCCACTGTGCTTTCAATCCTTGTGTATCCTGTTCGGCCTGAATTAATAGTTTATATATTTGACTTACAGTTCCTTTTCTTTCTATCCTTTTGTCTGATTTCAATATTTTTTCAATGATCTCTTCAAATGTTGTCATTTTTCTACTTTTCCTTTCCTTTCTTTTCCATTCCCTTGTCCACCTTTCTATTTGAACTATATTAAACCAAGAAATCCCCCCTCCTCCCAAAATCTTTTATATTTCCTTTATAGTTCATCTTCTTCATCCAATCTTTCATCCTATTTATCCCTTTGTCTTTTAATATATTCTTAAGATTTTTAAAAAGATTTTCTGGAAAATTATTTAAATTTACAACCTGAGATAAGGGAGAGATCAGTGGGCTCAATATAACTCTAAACTTTTTCCTAACATATTTTTAAGGAAAGGGTTAGTAGTCTTTTTAATCTCTTGTCCAAACTTTTCTTTAAAAAATATACATTCAATTTTTTCTTCCTTATCCTGCATTTCTATTTCTGTCCAAATTAAGTTTTTATTACCTTTAATAATATCTGGGATATGTCTAAGTTGGTTTACTATATACATACTGTAATATAATTTTAAATTGAGTAATCCAAGATCTCCCTTTTTGTGTTACATACCATAATTTCTTATTAATCCTCACATGTTTATTTCCATTACAGCAACAATTTATCTGCCATTCTTTCAGTTGTTTTTCTGTAATCTTTATAGGAAGCATCCAAAATATAAAATTTAATTTAGAAATAATATTCATTTTACATAATGCTACTCTACCAAACCAGGAAATCTTTAATTTCTGATAATCTTTTATCCTTCCAATTATCTCTTTTTTCAATCTATCCAAATTTATTTTAATTATAACCTCTAAGTTCAAATCAATCCTGAACTAAATCTCTGGAGGCAAAATTGTTGAAACTGAGACTGTCCCACTTTGGGCACATAATGAGGAGACAGGATTCTCTGGAAAAGACAATAATGCTGGGAAAAGCAGAAGGCAGCAGGAAAAGAGGAAGACCAAATAATAGATAGGTTCCCTAAAGGATAGGGTTGCCAGACGTCTGGCAAAAGGAGGACGTGTCCTACTTTTCAGGATCATGTCCTCCTTAAAACGTCCGGCTTTTTAATCTCCACCTTCACCCCTCCCCCTCCCCCACCCCCTGCAGTCCAGTGCAATCTATTGGGCCCAGAAATGGACTGGTAGCCAGTGCAGTTCTAGTAACAAGTGTGTTATATGCTCCCTGTAGCTGGCTCCTATGGCCATGGCCTGTGGCACTAACAGTCCTAATCACCTGAAATATACAGTACTAGTTTTCCTACCCCTTGTGCAGACATTATTAAGCTGATGGCCCAACGGTCTTAATCAATACAAAGCAACTTCCTCTGTTCTTTCTTTTGTGAAATGTTGGAAGGTATTCTTCTACTAAGTCATGGGTGAGTAATCTGTCATGATACTGTACTAATGTATCCATGATTGTGGCACAGTAACAATAAGAGTTTATTTTTTGTATATTTGTATATTGTCTATATACCTGCCATGGATATGTAACCTTCTGATATGTTAACAGTAACCTTGGACACTAGTTTCTTAATCCTGCTACATACAACTGTACCTTAAATTATGATAACTGAATGCCTTCAAACATGTAAATGTTCTTCTCTTCTTTTTCTTTGTATTAAGTTGGGGCTTAGTTTCTTTGATAGAGTGGTTGGTGAGACAAAAGGTTTAGAATCATAGGGCTACAAAACCTTGCAATCAAGGCCAGGACAAGACCAGATGCAATTCATGCCCTGCCATAAAGCTTGTTCCGTAACCTTGCACACCCATCTCCTCTGATGGACAGAGTAGTGCTATTATACTAATGGGAGCAGGATACAAATTGAATGAATGAATGAATGAACAAATAAAGCTAGTTTCTAAGGGTCACAGCGTATGGTGTAATGTAGGGGGGGGGCATGCTGATGTTCAGAGAAAGGTTAAAGAAGAGACAGGTATAATAAAAGAACTTCATGCTGCCAGCCAAGCAGCTAAGAGTGTGATGAGAGAGCTGCAAGGATGCATGCCTGGGAAAGGGTTGCTTTAACAGAAGCAATCTCCCTTAAAACAACCCTTCTGCCTGCCAGGGAATTGCCCTAAAAAGGAGATGCCCCACAACTGGACCAAAGAGGTCCAGCTTGGACACAGAGCAGGGTTGGGCAAGAACATTTCCAGCTATGTGGTGTGATTGGCAGGAAATAGATTGCACTGGACTGCTTGCTCTATAAGTGGTCCAAATTGTGAAATATTTCCCAGTGTGATCACATCTTTGGTATGCTTTATTATTGTGTTCCACCTTGCAAATAAAATATGATTTCCTGTTTAAACACTACAGTACTCATAACTATTTGGGAAGACAAAGCTGGTAAAATCCAGACCTATTTGTATACCACCAAGTACATACACAAACCCATCCTCTGATGGGATTCCTTTGTTCACCTTAAAGGCTTGTTAGCTCTGGAAGAAATATACCACCACTCAGGGTTGTCTTGTCTTAAGGACAGTGAACAGAGCCAGGGTACTAGGTGTGCTGTTTTCGGACTCCTGCCAAAAGGACAGGGTTATCAGTGTAATACATACAATACAAAGCAACAACATTTAGGAAGGTACCGTTAATCTAGTCATTTAGATTTAGTTTCTGGGAGATTTGCTAAAAGGCCTAGCTGACAGTTGAGTAGCTCCTGCTCAAATCTACTGGGCACCAGACTCTCCCCTCAAAACCCTCCGCCTCAAAGCGAGCTGGCCACCATAAAGTTTCCTCTCCAAACTCTCTCTTACACGCGGAGGGAATGCTTGCGAAAACTAGAGCCTTCTATTTTTACATTATTTTATTTGTTTATTGTTTCACCATCTACGTCGTGTTCCCCCCCCCCCAAGAACGCCCGACTTCTACTCCTCCCAGCCGGTCACTGGGCTCCTCACACGGAATCCTAAGGTCAGACCGCTCTCCCTCATCCTACCGAGGGATTGGAGAAAAAAAAAAAAAGCGCTCCACCCACAGCTCCAAAGTAACCCCGCCTCCCCACCCAGCATGCTTTGCGCCAGCCAAGGGGAAAATGGCGGCCGCCACCAGCACCAGGAGGAGGAGGTGAGGCTGCTACGGTGGAGAGTGACGGGCGCCGGCGAGGGACGAAAAGATGTTGCCGTTACGCTCGGCCGCCAGGCGGCTGCGGTGCTGGCCGTTGCTCTACGAGCAGCGCCGTGCCAGGAATAGCCTTTACGGGCCGAGGAAACCTCGGGGCCCCCTTCCTCGCACGCCCATGACGATTAGGGGGCCGGCCCCCGGCGAGCCCTTACCGTGGTACTTACGGAAGGCCCCGCCGGTGCGGGAGCAGCTGCCGGAGCTGAACACAGTGACGTACAAAGAGAAGCTGTACCCCGTCCCTTGGTTGGCCGCCCCGGTTTTTCCGAAGTGGGAGCGGGGATGGCACCACCCGTACCAAGACCCGTCCCCTCCCATGGAGGAGATGCCTGGCTACAAGGAGCGGCCTTGCTTCATGTTCCACAAGAGCACCCGGGTACAGGAAGGTACGGGAGGGGCGCCGGGCACCGGGAGGAGGCGGGGCGGATCTTCCCCAGGGCAACGGAGGCACTCCAGGGAATTCTGGGAGTTTTAGTCCAGAAACTGGGAATTCTGGGAGTTTTAGCCCAGAAACTGAAGTCTGAGGGTCTCTGGTTTTGACTAGGCACTTGGCTATAACCTGTACACTTTGACAAAACCTTTGAGGAGAGGAAGGAGAGCCAGGATCAGTTATGTGGGGTTTACAATCCTAGTGTCACATTGTAACGGTAAAAGGATACCAGCCAGGGACCCTTATGAAGCAATGTACTACAGTACTCTTATGTTGAGGGATGTGTATTACTATGCTAAATACTGTACAGTACCTTCAAAAGGCAAAATTCTGCATAGTCCTTAGGTTTGGGAAATAGTTGTCTCCTCACAACAATGGTTTCCTACAGAGCTATTGGCTACCATGCTTCCCAGGCACAGAAGAGCCCCTGTACACTATCTCAGGCTGATTGAAGGAAAAATGGGTATAAATATAACCACTTCTAGCGTCAGAATGGTTTTGTCATCATCTTTCCCACTCCAGTCCTTAATGAGTAAGATGGAAAAGCGTAGTAGTCTCGTGTAAGGTCAATTGACATAAAATGCACTACTGAAATTTCCTCTAGTAATATATTTTCTTGATCTTTAAGGTGTGAAGCAAGCATTGTGGCTGACCAAGACAAAGCTAATACAAGGCTTACCTCCTCAAATACTTAACATAATGAATGACCCAGCTCATCAGCTGGAGGACCAGGATGAGAGAGTCCAAAATGCAATCTCTCATGCATTTTTTCGCCTTAGCACTGAGGAAGAGATACCAAAAGAAAGTTCTTGGTGAGTGTGTGAGTTAAGATGCCTATTAGTTGATTTCATTGTTGTCAATACGCTATGTTTAAACTGCTGTAACAGAATATGTAGTTATTAGATAAGCATACTCCAGAATTATAAATTCCAAGTGGTGTTGGGAGAGAAATCAGTAAAACTGTTAGAGATTTCTGTGAGTGTAGTGCTCATTTACAGAATAAGGCTTCCTGCATCCTGGTTGGCTATTGGGGTGTTGTTTTCATCCGGTCTGTGGCTTCCTTGAACTGGCCCACGGAGACAGATCTCTGCCCACACAGACGCACAGTACAAGGTTGCAGCAGAAACCCACTTTTAAAGGACTTTGTTTGATGTATTCCTGCATCAGTTTCTGCTTACATTGAGAGTTCATTTTGCAGATTTTTTAAAAGTTTGGGTGGGAATTGTAAGAATAGAGTTTACTTCCTGCTTCCATTTTAAAAAGTTTTTCCACTATCCGGGTTTAGAAAATGCTGTCCTGAGACCTTCCTGTTGTGTGCTTTATGCAGTGGTTTCTCTCTGGTGCTAAGCGTGAAATTTGTTTGGTATTATTGCACTTTTACCGTGCATATGCTTTACAAAGTGTGAGAAAGCATATCGAAGGGGAGCATACAATACAAAATTGTGATATAAGGTAAACAGTCAAGTAAGAAATAGAGGCAGTGAACAAGAAAAATGCATAACTATTGCAGCTACCTGTTTTCACCAGTTTAAAGCATAGGGATGGAGGTGGGGATGTATCAAAAACTTTGATGAAGAGCGGAGTGATTTGAAGGAAGTTGTTCATATAGCTTGGTTCTAAATAAGTAGAGGTCATGTACAAACAGCTGTATGTATTCTGTAAGCACAGAATTTACTGTTAGATGCAGCATTCGTTGCAGAATCTTAGCCCACAAATAGCTTGAATAAAAAAAAACAAGATACTTTGGCTGAAAAGATTCCATAGAAATGTACAAACAGCATGTGCTGCAACCTGAGAGCAGTAGCTTATTTACAGTGCAGAGCATAATGCTCCACAGCTGTAGTACTCAAGCCCCCACCACTGTTGCTTCACAAGAACATTCATGAGGTAGAAGAGAAAGAAGAGAGTTCCCTTTAACTTTTGATGTTAACTCCTGTGTGACTTTTCAAGTGGTCTTCTGAAGAAATCTTAATGGCAGTAAATGTCATCAGTTAATTGTGCAGTGTTCTCTTTGTTTTAAACCAGTTTAAGTTAATATATTTAGGTGACCCTCTAATTCTGGTGTTAAGAGAAAGTAAAATTTTCCATCTACGTCTTTCTGATTGTCTCTCCCTGTGGCTACAAAACTTGAATTTCAGAACAAAATTGCATTATTTATACTTGTCATGGAATTTGAGTTGCTATCATACAGAACTTTTTAACACAGTCCTCCTTTATGTAGATTGTATCAGTTGTTACAATCTACATTGATCAGAGTAATAAACAACACTTGACATGCTATCTCAAATGTGGTAATTGTCATTTAATTTATATTAACAATTTTTGTTATTTTAATTTATAGTAGCCATTTTTAAATGCTGTAATCAATCAGAGGCTGAAATCTCTGTATAATAAGTTGCTGTAGACTCGGCTCATTGAATCAGAGGATTTGAAGAGTAAACTTCTTTGTAAGTATCATTGATTCATATGGGTCTGTTCTTGTTGGGACTTACTATGCTAAAGTAAGTCAGAACCCAGAGTAGACCTGTTTGAATCAGTGGAACATATGGAGTTTACTCACAAATCCCCACTCATTTAAAAGGCCTGCTGTTGTGCAAAAAGGATTTTAGCCATTATATTCAGATATCCAGAAAATCATGATACAATGGAATTTCTGGTTTGTGCCAAAAGATGTAACTAACCCTTTGTTCTGAAGCCTCATCCTTCTGGAAGACTTGCTTCATTTGTGCAGAATGATGACAGCCAAATATCCGAAATTATCTAAAAGAATGATTGCTGAAGACTACAGATTGTCAGCTGCATGGCAACGAGGTTAGTGAAAGTTTTCTAGACTTTTTTCCCCATAAATTTTTATTTCTAGAGACATTATTGACTAATAGGGAAGGTTCTGCACAAGGGTTAAAATAAAAGCTAAAAGTGATATAACTATGTGTCCCCTTCGTATTAAATCAGAAGGGCAGCTCAGTGGTGTAGGTATCTTGTTGCAGAGCCAGAGGTTGTGAGTTCAGTTCTCCACTGTTCTTCCTGGGAGTAGAGTCAGCTTGTGTGGCTATGGGTAAACTGCACAGTCCCAGGGCACCCCCAGAAGAAAAGAATGGTAAATTATATCTGTGTACTCTTTACCTAGAAAACTTTGGAAAGGGTTGCTGTAAGTCAAAATTGACTTGATGGGACACTATTGTTGCTGGACTTTCCATCTTTAAAGTCTACGAACAACAACTAGAAAAATGGAAGAAATCACATAAAGCAAAGACAAACTTTTTTTGAATAGCAGTGCTGTGATATTAAAACCATTGGAGTGGCTGTCCTGACATCGGTAGTGGGGACAATCCATTATTGCAAACTGCCATACATAAAGCAAAATGTGTGTCTGTTTTTGCTGTCATCACTTGTCTGTTTAACAGGATGCAAATGGAAAATGCTGCTCAGTAGAGTATGTTCATGAAACATTTGGGATATATCTGTATTAAATCAGATTGTTAAATGTCATTAAAAAGTTTTTTTTGATTGATGATGGGTGCCATTTTGTTGTGGCCATGGTCCCCTAAAAAAAGCAGTGAAACGAAGTGTGGATTTTGCATGTCAGTTGGACTGCTTTGCTTCATGCCAAACCTTCACAGAACTAGGAAAGGGATTATAGCTGCAAATATTCTTGGTATGATCCTTTCCCTACTGGATCCCTACCTTTGCTCTCAAAGGGGCCATTTCTTGCTTGCTTTTATGTACTCAGATTTGACGAACATCCATTTTGAGTAGTAATAAATGAGTACTTATATTTTTGAATATTTAGTATTTGCAGTTCTGCAGCCTTAGCTTTAATATACTAAGGGACTTTGCAGTATCTAGCTGCTGTACAGTTAAGACAATTTTATTTATTTATTTATTTAAAATATTTTCATCCTGCCTTTCTCCTTAAGCTTACAACAACGGAAAACGATATTCAAATTTGAAAACAATGAGTACACAACGGTGGTTAACATAAGTAAAAGATAATATTTAAAAACTGAACAGTGAATAAGGAGGCATCTTACATTACTAACAGGCAATATTAAAGCAAATAAGTATACAAAAATTTTTAAAATGTCATTCTGAGAAATGGAAAAAACAAAAATGGAAAACAAGTATTGTACAGTGGAACCTGGATTTATGAACTTAATCCGCATTGGAACGGTGTTGGTACGTCGAAACGTTCATAAGTTGAAGGAAAATTTCCCATAGGAATGTGTTGAAAACCATTTAATCCGTTCCAGCTGTTTTCATTCTTATCTAGAGGCGCTGTTCTTAAGTCGAAGCATTAGTTCCCATAGGAACTAATGCAAATGAACTAATGCAAAACCGGTTAATCTGTCCTCTACCACTAGGGGGAGAGTTTTTTTTAACCTAAGATGAACTTAGGTCAAAAAAAGGGCAGGAAAGGAGGGAGGGGGAGGGAACACCTTTTAACCCAAGCACCTTTTAAACAAAACCAAGCACCTTTTAGCTTAAATAAGGGCAGGAGAACACCTTTTAAACAGAACACTTTTTCCCATTCGTAAGTTGAAGGAAAATTTTGCGAATGGAACAGTTCGTAAATCGAAATGTTTGTAGGTAGGGGCGTTCGTAAGTCGAGGTTCCACTGTAGTACTAAAAATCCAGTCAAAGCAGTAATGCATAAGAATCCATCTAAAAATCACACACAGGTAGCTGAGGGAAGACCTGCCTTTGCCTGCTTGCAGAAGGACAGCAAAGATGGGAGAGACTTCCAAAGTTTGTGAGCAGCAACAAAGAAGTCTTTCCTGTTTCCCCATCAGATGTGCCTGTGAAGGTGGTGGGACCAAGAGAAAGACTTCTCCTCATGATCTGAACACCCAAGCCAGCTTGTAGTCAAATACTGCAACTGCTCCATGTGTGCTCATTTTTTGAGCGCAGTTAGGTGGCTAGTGATATATATATTTGGAGGACAGACATATGCCTCAATTAGTGACTTTTGACTACTAGTAAATCTTCTGGAAATTGATGCTAGCACCATGACTAATTGTTTATTGTTTTAGTCTTGATACCAAAAATCTAGAAGGGAGTTGGGGAACAATGTCATCAGAACTCTTAATGAGTACTTCTAGCTATCTGCTTCTGTGAAGCTTGTTGAAATTTTCTTGCCAAACACAGCAGGAAAGAAAGTGAGTCTGTATAGAAGAAAGCTGACATCTGCCACCTAACTAGAGAAAGAGAAGGTCTCCTTTCATGGGGCTATCCATAGCTAAAACATTGTTCTGAAGAAAACAAGGCCTATTCACTTGCGTATATCTCATAAAAGAATTTTGGGCACCTTACTATAAACATGTGAATTTATTTATGACACCATATTTTCCATTACAGAATCCATTCTTCTTCAAGTACGTGGTCTTAATGGGAAGCTTCTGAATGTAAAAAGTCCCCTGCCACCTATAGCTTCCAGCGAGGAGATCCTTGCCACTGAAAACCACACTTTAGAAACCTTCTATCCCATTGCACCTACAATGGACCTTCAGGAAACGAATGTATATGAGATAAAAAATGACACAGGTAACTTTTGCAAAAAAATAGGGTTTATGCAGAAAAGTATTATATGTTTTGTACAGGTGAACTTGTTATGCATAAAAGTCTACAAGATGATGTTTTATATATTGGAGTCTAATGTAAAGAATGGAGTAAATACAATAAATAAAGCATTAGGTTTCTTAATTGCTGTTTATTAACATCATCTGTTTGGTATTCTAGGTTTTCGGAGAGATTATCCGTATCATCCTCACACCGTATACTTTGTTGCATATGATAAATACATAATGAAACCAGAATATATGCGGGCAAAAATGATAATGTTTGCTTTTGGAAATGCTTTGGCCAAGGCTAAGGAGCTATATGGAGTAAGTATAATAAAATGATATTGTGTTATTTCTAGAATAAGGAATGGGCCTTTGTGTGGTTTTTTTCAGCCTTTCCTGTAACAGCTTACTGGATATTTTCTGTCTTTGAAAGAGAATCATGTTGGCTGAAATCTCTGTTCTAGGTTTGTATCGACATATCACAGAGCAGGCTTTTGAGTTTGTCCTGTAATCAAAAATCCCTGTAATTTTCTGTCATTGTGGGTGAGGGTTCCACCACATGTGCTCGGGGTTCTGGCTGCGAATGGAACCAAATGGGCAGCAACACTGGCTGTGTGTGCAGGGCACTGATGCAGCACTGCAGTCACACACACCTGCATCTTAGAGGGAATTTTGCCTGTTGTACACAATTTAGAAAGTGAATACGTTCTGCTCCAGACAGACAGGAGTAGCTTGTTGAAAGTGGCCTGTGTAGGTTCTGCTCAACCTATAGTTTCTGTTGTGCATGAATTTTGGTCATTGGTGAGGACTGACCGTCCTGAATAAAATAATGAAGGAGAGGAAAATAGTGCTGGTAATTTGTATGGTCATTGTCATCCTCCCTTGCTTGGGAGGCCATTATTGAATCCTAAGTTGCAGACTTCAAATGTGCAAAATATGGATATTGGTTTCTTGTATAAAAGTGAAAAATTTCTACATATGTGTGTGGTATCTCACTGTTACAAGAAACCATAAAGGACTCTTGTATCTTAAAGACTAAGAAGCTTTATTTGGCACAAGTGTCTGTAGATGATAGTCCGCTTTGTCAGATATGTGGGCTACAGTCCACAAAAGTTTTGCTGAATAAAACTTGTTCGTCTTTAAGTTCCACAAAATGGTGTTTTGCTGCAGTGGGCCAAGAGGAGTGTTTCCTTGGAAATAAAAGGAGAATTCAGGAGATTGAAATAACTTTACATTGGTGTGTCAGGTCATGACTTTTCACACAAATGTCAGGGTTTAGCCCTCATGCTCCTGAACTTATTGTGCATGTTTCGCTTTTGCCTAGATTGCTGTAAGTCTTACTTTCCCTACAGGCAAATTAAGACTTCAATTATCAAAATGATGTGAGTAAACAGCAAGCCCAGGAATTGTTAGGGTCTACCATGTTGGCCTATCAACTTGAAGTATTCCTCTGGCAGTGTGCTAGGTTCATACCTGCATTAACCCCAGACAACTCAAGTGTATTTTTCTGACATCTGTAATGATCATTTCTTGTAATACTTTACTTTTCTTTCCTCAGTTGTCTGCTTGCACAGCATCTTAATGTACTGAAGTATAAAATAAATTAGATGGTAAAGTTTGAAAGGCCTATTCTGTGTGCTGTTGTGATCTCAGACCAGCAAATATAATTTAGTATGTTATCATTTTTTTTCCTTTCCTTTTCCTTCTCCCGAACTAGAATGAACCTAGAATCTTGGATAACCCCATTGTTGTACAAAGTATCGGTACAGATGGACATTGGTTTCAGTTTTTGGTGTTCCAGCTGAATACAACAGATCTAGATTCTAGTGATGGTGTTAAAAACCTGGCCTGGGTGGATGCAGATCAGCTGCTGTATGAGGATGCCAGGAGATATCCAGTAATCAAGAAGAAGATTGTTGAGGTAGGTTAAGGTGAAATAACTTGTGACCAAGTAGAACTTTGTCTCTGTTTCTGTAGTTAAGTCAGAAAAGCTTATCTGTTGGAGCAGGAAAAAAAGCATCTAAAGGTAAGGATATTACTTATTTTTAGTATAGGGAATCATTATTAATACTTTTACAGATTTTAAGAAAAATGTTCAAATTATATAGGAATATTTTTGGCCCTAATGAAAAATACGTGTTGCAGAAATTTTACTTAGAAGGGAGGGTTGACCATTTTTAGGTTCACATTTTTGTATGAAAGAAAACAAATTTATCATGCTGCTAATCTGAAGATAATCTGTTACTCACAGTATTAACAGGTAGCATATTGCTTCCTAAAGTAACAATTCCAAGCCCTGTTGCGACCTAATATGAAATGCCTTAACTTTGGTAGAGGTAACTTTGGGGGCATCTTCCTATTATAGTTTGAGAAAATCAGTTTGAATTAAAGCATTAACAGCACTGGAGAGGTAGATATGCACTGTGAAATGCAGTTGCATTACAATGGGAAATGACTGGGTACATCATGAGAACAGTGAAGAATAATCCCTGTAATATCTAATGATATCAAAATAGCTAGATCCTGACTCTGATGACACATGTCCAAGGCATGCAAAGCAGAAAAAAGATTTTAGTTGTCCCTCATTAATACCCTTCCCTGAAAAAGAACCCATAGCTTCCTGAAGGAGTGACAGTGAGAATATATCACTAGGACAATATTGGAACATATTGAAATATGTTGCTGAGCTAATCTGTGTGCCAGACATTGAAAACCCAGATGTTCTTTCTACAGATTCCAGCTGGAATACATGGCTATCAGCCAGACACATTCAAGAAGTTCCTGGCATTCTACTTGCATGGTGCTGTGTGAACAGCCCTCTGGAGGGGCCCACGTTTAACCTGCCTGTGCCACATTTCTTCTTGTAAAACAATACTTAGCAGTATGGTCAAAAACTGGAGGCTATTCAATATTTCTGAATAAAGGAGATTTTTTTTAAAGCACATGTAAATGGCATCTCTTGTGATCAAATCATTTAATACCTTAATGAACTAGCATGAGCACAACATTGTTACGATTGTTATGGCTTAAGAAGAGAAGCTGGGAAGTACAGTCTACTGGTGAGTTTATGATTAGTCCCCGTAAGCAGTGCTGCCATCTCTCATTCTGCCACTCTGCTAACTGCACTAAACACAGGTTTACAGTTGACAATAGTTAAACAGGGCAAAATACAGGACATCTTGTAGTATGTTTTATCAGTCCATGAATCATTGGGTAGTGGGTAAAAATTCTACATCTTCCCAACTGTAAGACTATTACATAAAGTTATTTACTGTTGTTAAGAAGGACAGTGCCCCAGTTGTGGGGACTAAATGTGTGATCAGACAGCTGGAAAGAGTTGCTTTGTTGGGTGCCATGTTTCTTAAAGCAATCATTCCATCTGTTGGGGAATACTGTAGTTCCAGCCTGGCCCCCAAAAGTAGTTGCGCTAGAGCTGGACCAAAAATGTTCAGCTTGCACATGGATTGGGGGCAGGCTGAGGTACAATTCCTCATATACAGTTGCTAGGAAATTGATTGTACTGGACTGCTCCACAGCTTTTTTCTTTATGTGATGACACCCTAACTGGGAGTATGTGTGTGGTGATGGTGGGGAGGTGTCAAAAGGTGTCAGTACAAACATATCCTTGAAATACTTTGGATGTTAGTGAAATCACAAGAATAGTGGCTCACCTAAAATGTGCATACGAGTTCAGAGAGTGCTGGGTGGGGCAGAGATGAAGGTGTGGCAGTCAACAATAGGTAGGAATGAATATTGACATCCATTCACATCCTACTGCGAAACTAGAAAAGTGCTTATATATAGTGTTGCTTCTGGCTTAGTCACATTTATGCTTTTACTCACAGTACTATTCACTGGAAAGGAAGTGGTTGTTGATTTGAGCTATGCTGAATGTGCCCAGAAAAAAAAAAGCACAAATAGCTGATTGGCTTTTGGAAGTGACAAAAATAGTATGTTAGTAGCTGGGGTAGCTTCTTTCTTAACTATCTTTGGTCACAGCAGATTCCTTGAGGGTGAGAAAACTAGTTCAGTGTTCATCCAGACATTGTGGCACTAGCCAACACCTTGTGTTATTGCCTTGGTATTGTCTTTCTCTACCTGTCACTACACTCAGAAAAAGGGGAGCATATGTAAGAAAATTGCTGGAATAAGAGAGTTACTTGATGGGTAGGTTGACCAGCACAGAGGTTAAGTGTATTCTGAACAGTTATACAAAAGGTGACAAAAGATGTGCTAACATTTTCAGAGAAGCTGAATGAATTCTTTTCGTCCATTGTCACCACTGTGAAACATGTAGGACAGGTGCTTGTGGCCGAGCTAACTTTTATGTAGGGAAACTGAAGAACTGAGAGCACTGGAAGTTAAAGAGAAATTCTAGCTTAGGGCTTCTTGAAGTTAGTCTTATTGTATTTTGATCACTTGTACCAGAAGTCTTAAGAGAGTATAAATGTGAAACTACAGATCTTCTAGCAAATATACGAAGTCTGTAAAATTGACTTTTATCTACTTTCCAATCTTGTGGTTAAAGGGAACACCTGATTTTTAAAGAGGGGAGCATGTAGTGATGGTGGGAAGAACTAGGAAATCACAAGCTAGATAGTTGTCCTGGGTACTTTGTTAAAAAGTTACCAGAATATCAAGTATATGGAAGAATAAGTCTTGCCCCACCCCAAAGCATGCCTTCTATGAAGCAAAACCTTGCTGAAGGATCTTGAGTGAATTAATAATGGCATAAAAATGGGAGTTATTTGTATATCGCTGATTTCATTTATATTCCATCCTTCCTCACAAAGAGCCCAACGTAGCGAATAACATAATGTGAACACATAGTCAAACACAATGCAAATTATAATTCTAAGATAATAAATAATTGGTAAGGCCAGAATTGTACTCCTGTTGACTGTGCACAGAACATCAATTATGACAGTGGAAGCAGCTAATTAAACAGGTTCCTGTCACTTGCTGGCCACACAACAGAAACTTAGCTATTTCTATGAGGGATGCATCTCGCAGTATATACTAATATGATTCTGGCCGAAGATACAAAACAAATGTAGCGTTTACCTAGACCAAAGCTTGTGTAAGTAAATGTATCTTCAAATGGCTCCTGAACAAGATAACCATAGGGAACTTTGCTATATATATTATTGCTCTCTCGGCCACATTCCCTAAGAGCATGGTGAGCAGAGCTCTTGACCTGATTGTGAATTCTTTGGTTGGAAGGGATCAGGAAAGCTGATGTTTCCTTTAGTTGCATCCTAAACCATTGACAGGTTCATAAAGCTAATATAAGCACCTTGAATTGCCCTGATGGTTGCTTAGGGGCCAGCGCAGAACTTTCAAAACTAACATGTAATACGTTTATGTTTTACCAACACAGTGGGAAGCTCCTGCCCAAGACTGTTACAGTGGTGCCTCGCATAACGAGCGCACCGTTTAACGATGAATCCGCATAGCAATCTATTTTTTAATCGCTAATGCGATCGCATTGCGATGTTTTAATAGCCTAAACATTGCATTGCGATGACCGGTAAGCGTTTCGCTTACCGATCTTTGCATTGTGATGTTTGCGGAACAGCTGATCGGCGGTTCCAAAATGGCCGCCAGGTGCCCAAAATGGCCGCCGCAACCATTTTCGTGCGATTTCCTCGCTTACCGAGGCAGCGAAAATGGCGGCGCTATGGAGGATCTTGGCAAAACAGTGAGTTTTCACCCCATAGGAACGCATTAAACTTTGTTTAATGTGTTTCTATGCGGTTTGTCCCCCTGTATTGCGATGTTTCTGGATAGCGACGATTAATCCGGACCGGATTAACGTCGCTATGCTGGGCACCACTGTAGTTGATATCTGTTTCAGTGGGAACAAACTCTCCTGGCAGAGAAGCAGCAGCTTCCAGTGGGCGAGGTAACCTATTCATTCTGCCTTTTCCCTTGGAGTTAGATCATAAGTTTAAAGGCTTTCTCTGGCCAATCCTAGTGGCAATTAGGTAACCAGTATCCTTTCTGAATTCTCACAACATATGTAACCTTGCTAAGTTAATAAAAGAGATCTCAAGGTGTTGCCTTTAGGCTCTGCTGGAGAAGCAGCAGCTTCCAGTGGGCGAGGTAACCTATTCATTCTGCCTTTTCCCTTGGAGTTAGATCATAAGTTTAAAGGCTTTCTCTGGCCAATCCTAGTGGCAATTAGGTAACCAGTATCCTTTCTGAATTCTCACAACATATGTAACCTTGCTAAGTTAATAAAAGAGATCTCAAGGTGTTGCCTTTAGGCTCTGCTGGCTCGGACTGGACATCTGTGGTCGACTGCTTTGTATTTTCTCTAAGGTTAATTACTTTCCTTCCCAGAAGCCTTCACCACCAGCTGTCCTGACTGGGGTTTCTGGGAGTTGCAGTTCAAAAGCATCCGAGTAACAAAGGTTAAGAACCACTGACCTAGATCACCTTTACTACACCTCCCTCCCAACACATCTGGTGGCAGCATTCTGCAGTAGCTTTAGTGTTCAGGAGAAGCTCCATATAGAAAATGCTGAAATAATTGCAAAGCTTGCAAATGTATAACTTATTATACAAAACAGTAACAGTTAGGACCCCTTTATGGATTGGTGTCTTGTCGTGGCGAAGGGGCTTGAGTAATTCAGAGAAGCTATGGGATATGCCGTGCAGGGACACCCAAGACTGACAGGTCATAGTGGAGAGTTCTGACTAAATGTGATCTACCAGGAGCAGGAGCTGGCAAGCCACTCCAGTATCTTTGCCAAGTAAACTCCATGGACAGAAACAAAAGGCTAATAGATATGACACTGGAAGATGAGACC